TGTGTGATATGAGATATCTCCATCATGACCTTAATATAGGCCTAATTATATCATCTGATGTAGTGATTTTACTAGCCTTTTATTTTTGGATTGTCATATCTAATGTTGTTGAAGTTTGATGTGGAATTGCTGCTGCTCAATTACTCTCAAGTATTTGTTCTTTGAATCTCGTGGTGATGAAGTCCTTAATTATTACTGCACAATTAGTGCACTCAATGAATGTGGTTGCATGAAGGGGATTCTTGTGAGTTATTGACTTGCTAGTAAAATTGAAGATGCGATAATTTGGGCCAACACTGATTTATAAAAAACTCGTTTTCTGAATATCACTTGAGCAGAAAGTGCTAAAACTAAATCCGGAATACTTTCTGAAATCAGACGAGAAAATGAATTCCAGTCACTCTTTTATAATTTTGCACCGTCAAGCCCTTTTGTTTCAAGTTTCTTAGATTTCATTTTCTTTTGCAGATCAAGTAGTGATGATCTCGGTGGCATTTCTTGTAATTCTCTTCAGCGTACAGAAGTATGGGACAAGTAAAGTGGGTCTTGTTGTTGGTCCTGCTTTGTTTATATGGTTTTGTTCCCTGGGTGGTATTGGTGTCTACAACCTCATTAAGTATGATTCTCGTGTTTGGAGGGCATTTAATCCTGTTCACATATACTATTATTTCAAGCACAACTCAACAAAGGCCTGGTACTCTCTTGGTGGTTGTCTTTTATGTGCAACAGGTAGACACCTGAGAACTGATTCTTTTTGATTGTTGACACTGTAATTTGATGGCCAGAAAACTAAAGGGATGGTTCTATGTGATTTTCTTTCCATGGGGTTTAATTGAGTTGAGTCAACAAGGTTGATGTTTGCTCCACTGAGCTTGCTTTCTGAATGTTGGACTTCTCTATTCTCTTCATATTGGCACAGCATGAGATGTATTTGCAATTTACTTCATTAACATTTTCCTGCAAACTTATTGCTAAGAAGCATCATTTTTAACCTATCCATTTCTTATCCCCCCCGGGGGGAAGTGAGAGCATGGATTTTGAATGGCACAAACCTTTAAACTTGGCATTGATATTGGCCCACAGTATTTTCCTAATGTTCTTCTTGTACCATCTGGACAAAGATAGCTTTTGCTTATCTGTTGTATCACCCTTTTTTCTCGAAGAGTTTGTTTGGGCTTATAAAATGCATAAACAGATCGAGTATCTCCTTTTTGAGTTTCTAGGATATGTTGTGTTTATAATTTTTCCATTATAGCCTGTTCTTTTATATATTTTCTGCGATATATAGCTGATCACTAATTCTGAAATTCAGGTTCAGAAGCAATGTTTGCAGATCTTTGCTATTTTTCGGTGAGGTCAGTTCAGGTATGCAGCATGAGAGTTTTTTGGTGGAAATGGGTGCTGCAATTAATATAAACAATAGATCCATGCATTTTTGGGATATAACCCTGCCTCCCTCTTATATGTCACTAATGATGTCCAATTTGACAGATAGTTATTGATTATATAACGTTGTTTAATTTGCAGCTTACATTTATGTTCCTTGTGCTGCCATGCCTTCTATTGGGATACCTTGGTCAAGCTGCTTACCTGATGGAGAACCATGATGATACAACACAAGCTTTCTTCTCTTCTGTGCCAAGTAAGTTTCTAGTCCTGTAGCACTCACTCTGACAACATCTTGTTTATTTATAATTAATTTTGGAAAAATTATGAGAATAACGACGTGAGACATAACAATATATATCGAAACAGAAGTGTCATGATTTTGTGTAGTTCTCATTACAGATACGTTTCTGAATATAGAAGGGCACACAGACAAAGTAGTTGGGTGAAATTCTGCAATTGTATGCAGGTGGAGCTTTCTGGCCTGTCTTCTTGATTGCCAATATAGCTGCTTTGATTGCCAGTAGAGCAATGACCACAGCAACTTTTTCTTGCATTAAACAATCCACAGCTCTAGGCTGCTTCCCTCGCCTTAAGATTGTTCATACGTCTCGGAAGTTCATGGGTCAGATTTATATACCAGTCATGAACTGGTTTCTTCTGGCGTTGTCTTTGGTGTTGGTCTGCTCTATCTCAAGTATATATGAAATTGGAAATGCTTATGGTAATCTTTTTCTCTTTAGACCTTGCAATTTCGTTGCTGATTGCTCTCTCTGTTTTACCTTAATGCTTATTGTTTGTTGTGATGTGCACATGGAGCTTCCTGATAAATATTTGAAAGTTGGTAGATACAAAATTGAAATACCTTGTCCATCTAGTGTCTTGTTATTTGTTAACTTGTCTCCCGATGTAACCACTGCATAATCGTTGTGCTTCTTTTGTTTATATAAGATGGTCGCTTATAAAAAAAAAGATCTACTTGTTATTACATTGATTTGCCCGGTGTTCAGAATTAAAATCCTTGGAAACGCACTAACGCAGTGTGTTTTCAAACTCATTTGTGAAAATCTACAATGTCGTACTATCTTTCAATATTTTAATTTTATCTTTCAAGCTATCAATGCCAAAATTTGAAGATGACAGGAAACACTTGTAGAATGTTTGATAAAGTGCTGGTTTGTTGTCATTGAAACCCTAATTCTCATGCATCAGATGCTCTACATATTCTTTTGCGGTACAGTCCGTTTGAAGTGTGTAGTATATGTACAATGATTGATTTGTTCATGAAGAAACTTAACGTACCCCTGGTATGAAGAGTTATTACTTGTGAACTATGGTAGGCAGGAGAAATCATTCTTGTAGTTGTTGGATTTCAATTTAGAGTTGTGTCTTTTTTGATGAAATGACGATGGTAGGCAGGTGCTTCCAAGTTTTCATCAAATGATTTATTGACTGCCTTGTTGATTTCTTATGAAACCCTGTTTGACAGCCGTAGCGGAGCTTGGAGTGATGATGATGACAACAATATTGGTTACTATTGTTATGCTTCTGATATGGCAGATCAACATCTTAATTGTGCTAAGTTTTCTCATTATATTCTTGGGATTGGAGTTAACATTCTTCTCATCTGTTTTATGGAGTGTGGGAGATGGAAGTTGGATTATACTTGTCTTTGCTGTAGTCTTGTTCCTGATTATGTACATCTGGAATTATGGAAGCAAGCTGAAGTATGAAACTGAAGTCAAGCAAAAGATGTCTATGGATTTGTTGCGGGAACTGGGCCCCAACCTTGGAACTATCAGAGCTCCTGGAATTGGCTTGCTTTATAATGAACTAGCAAAGGGAATACCAGCCATATTCGGACACTTTCTCACCACTCTACCTGCTGTGCATTCCATGATCATTTTTGTTTGTATAAAATATGTTCCTGTTCCAGTTGTACCTCAGAATGAAAGGTTCCTGTTCAGGCGAGTCTGCCCCAAAAGCTACCACATATTCCGTTGTGTTGCCAGGTATACTAAATTTCCCTGTTTTGCTAGTGCCTTCACTACATAGACCAACTGATGTGAAAGAGAGCTAGAATAAATCTACACGCTTGCACAAATCTGGAGACCAACCTTATTAAGACTGCTGCATGACAGATGGTTAAATGAATGTGTGGCGGACAGTTACCTTTGAGAAGCTGGAAATTTCTTAAATCTTTTGGGCAAACCTATGTGTATGATGGTTAATTCTTTTCTATAAACAAATAATGGCTAAACGACCAGCTTATCTTGTATGCCCTCTGCTTTAGCTGCTTATAAATTTTAAACAGTTTCCTGTCATAATATATGCATTCTCTTCTGCAATTGATGTGCATTTAAGTTTTCTTGGCTACTAATTTTATCTGTCCAAAACTTTGGACCCACAGATATGGGTACAAGGATGCTCGTAAAGAAAATCACCACACTTTTGAGCAACTGCTCATTGAAAGTCTCGAGAAGTTCATACGCAGAGAAGCTCAGGAGCGATCACTTGAAAGTGATGGCGATGGTTCGGACTCTGAAGAAGAGTATGCCTTCTCAAGGGTTCTTGTAGCTCCAAATGGAAGTGTTTATTCACTAGGTGTTCCTCTCTTAGCGGATTTTAGGGACACAGGAAAGGCAGTTATGGAAGAAAGCACTTCAGAAGAGCTGAAACCTGGGACTTCTTCTGAGTCGTTATTGTCTGATGCAGAGCAATCCCTTGACAAGGAGCTCTCGTTCATTCACAAGGCTAAAGAATCTGGTGTGGTCTATCTTCTTGGTCATGGAGATATTAGGGCAAGGAAGGATTCATGGTTCATTAAGAAGCTTATCATAAATTATTTTTACGCTTTCTTGAGAAAGAATAGTAGGAGGGGAATTGCCAATTTGAGTGTACCACATTCACATTTAGTGCAAGTTGGCATGCAATATATGGTGTGAGTTGGCTTTTTCTGTAAAGGTCCATATGAGCTATTTTGGCAAAAATTTAGGTAATCGCCTATCAGTCAACTTGGTTGTTATGTACAGCATAATCATGCCACAGTTTGATTGATGGATACACAGAAATGACCACACCAGAGCTGAATTTTGATGTCCCTCGTCTTAGAAGCTTGGAAGATTCTGCGTTTGTTATAGTTATACAACGGATTCATCACCCAAGTTTGTCGGGTTGCACCTGGGACTGTAATGATTGCCAAGACATGCAAATCCATGTAATTGTAATTTTTTTTTTTAATAATGCATGATGTTCAACCTTGAGGGTAAATTTTATAGGTTTTGCTTGTGGGATGAGTGGTGTGTTTGCAGCTCATTGCGGTGATGAGTTCATTTAGGAAGAGAATCCCTACATTGCTCTACTTTGTTTTATTTATTGCAAATGTGCTAGACAAAAGACCTGTAATAGTTTCTTAAAGAGAATCTTATGTAAAATACCACAAAATAAAGTTCGACCCTATTCATGGGAAATTCGGTGACTATTCAAAAAATGGACAAAATCAGACCAAAAGTTGTTTGGAAGAAGTATCTACAAACTCGCAAAATCAATGCTAACTTACTTAAGTATCTACAACCTCGCAAAATCAATGCTAACTTACTGAAGAGAAACAAAAAGAATGCAATATCCAATGATATATAGACTAGCTTAGTTAAAGATTTGGCTGTTAAACTTGTATGTTGGTTTAAGCGCAATATAGAAATCTATAGTTACAGAATTTACCTTAAATGACATAACACCTTAGCACTGGAATGAAATGAATCCAAATATGATAGAATGACATTGCCAACTCCAACTAAATTTAAGATTGGACTACAGTACATTGATTTATATCCAAACGCTTCATTTTCCTCCAATCCATACCGACGGGGAACTGGATTTCGTTATCTTCTATATCTTTTTAATCTTTATTGCAGCCCATCCTCCTCATTTGGCATGTTGTGTAGATCTCGGTTATGAAAAATAAAGGCGATAATGGACGTCATTCTGTACCTCAAATTCAGAGATCTACCAGTGGCATTTTCTTGGCACAAACTGACAATTACACTTCACATCATTAACCAAACTGTATGCAACTCCTAGACAGGTCGATTCAGTGCCTAGCAACTTATATACTCACTAAGTAGTTAGCATGTGTAATCTGTGATGAACAAAATGATTCTCAATCTCCCAACCATATAAAACCGCATAAGCTTGAGCTGAGCATATTCCATTATTCCCGTCCCTTCAAACTGCGCAGTTACACGGTTAGGATCCCTTCAATTGGTAGGTATCTGAAGCCGAGGATAATTGAATGTCAGAATCAATCACTGACTTGGCTTTGTAGGATCACTATCTGGAGGTTGGATACGGGTGTCTTAACTTTTCTTGATTCAAGCTATTAGAAGCATCAGAAGGAATTTCAACTATTACTGATGGTCCATGAATTTCCTTCTGCCTTGATTGAAACTTGAGTCTCAGCAACAATGAATTTGTCATCACGCCAATAGAGCTCAAGCCCATGAGAGCTCCTGCTATTGACGGAGTAAGCATGGTTCCAGTAGATGGCAGCAGGACTCCAGCAGCTACTGGAATTCCAACCTGTAGTGAGCAAAGATGAGAAGAAAGACAATATGAAGAAGAAACCAAATAAAATGTATGAATATCTCAAAATTGCGGATACAATTGCACACAAATTATCAGCAGCAAGATTAATATGGAATCAGATATGTGACATATACGTAGTTTTAGATCTTCAATATGTGACCGACTACTCAAGATCTTGAAAAATAAAGGAAATGCAGAGAGAGAGAGAGAGAGAGCATTCCCATCAGTAATAAAAAAAAGAATAAAGAGCATTCCCATCAGTGATTTCAAGCAAACTGACAGATATTGGTTAGGTGTCCAAAAGGAACGACTTACTGTGGAGGACAAGAAGCAAGAGTCTTCTCCCCTCCCACAAGTTTGAATACGCTTTAATAATGGTCATTCTAACTTTTAAGTCCTTAATCAATGTTTTGCATGTAGCAAATCATTGTTCTCTATAGATTAACCAGTTTATTTGTCTAAAATGATAATGCACATAGAAACACTTCCTGTTCGCTTAATGGACAGCTAAGATGAAAAACTTACAATGTTGTATCCGAAGGCCCACCAAAGGTTTTGTTTTACAGTCTTCATGGTTAGCCTGCTTAGCTCCAGAGCATCGAGCAACTGCAGCAACGTGATTTTGTTCAAAAATTATGGTACAACACACCGTGCAAGATAAAACATCATAAAGAAATTTTAGTATCCAGATCTAGATCTCTGTGTGTGTGTGTGTGTGTGTGTGTGTATATATGTATAGATTCAAGATTCAACCCAAAACCTGTACATGAGCATATAGAAGACACAATTAATTAAAATTGTGCTCTCTCTAACAAGGTAAGTAAATGTTTAGATAAGGTGTATGTGACAAGCACCTGCAGATGGTCCTTTGAGGCTAGGTATTGCATATTTTAACAGTCAACTTATTCAAGATGCTCAGAAATTAACATATAAGCATGGGATTTTTCATTCCCGAATGCTATGTCAGGGAATTCATTATTCAAATGGCTCTTTTAGAAAAAGTAGTTATCCGTTCCAAACAATCCCATTAGTAGTTTAAGTATAATGCAATAACTGTTTATACTTGTAGAAATACAATATTTTCAGCATGTATTCTGAAGGTGGAGAGAGATGGATAGAGAACAAGACGAAACCTTGGAAAAGAAAAACAAGCGACCATGTTTGCAGCTTGAGGCAAGATTACTCTAGTTCCAGAAAAGACAAAAGAACATGAATGGCAAGGAAGTTGCAAAAAAGAGAGGAGGAAAACCTGAGATAGCCGATCGTTCATCAGTACAATAGAAGACACATCACTTGCAGCTCCAACTCCACCACCAATAGCTATTCCTACATGTGCTGATGCCAAGGCTGCAGTGTCATTTATTCCATCGCCGACCATAGCTACAATTTTCTGATCCTTTTGTAGTCTGCTTACAAACCTACTCTTTTCATCTGGTTTGACTCCATAAAATACCTGAATTCAACCATTTATCTTATTGGCATTTCTAATTAAGTGATGTAGAACTTGTTGTAATGTGTTTTAGCAAAAGGGTTAAAACAGTTTAACAAATATTTCTGTCAAAGGCAGTGCTTATACAGATCAAAATAAACATGCATATAATACCAAAAAGAAATGCAGTAAAATTTTTATTTCTAATAAATGTGCAAGACTAATGAGTACAGCCAATCTGGGACCAGCATTTTTGTTATATTCCACTTCTGCAATTGTCTTTTAGCTTCTATTGCCGACATACTTACGTAGAATGCTGTCCTTTAATTTTGGAAAAGATGACAGAGAGCAATAAGAGATGCATTTCCCAATTGAATCCAATAAAATTACAGCTCGAATATATTATCAAAAGCTAAACATACAATAACAACCTCCCAGGTCAGAGGTCTCTGTACTAGTGATCCACACATTCCTTTTTAGAGGTTGTAACAGTAAAACTAAAGAGCCAATAAGGTGACAAGGTCCAGTCTCAGGCAGTGAAATAAAAAAGATAGGGAAAATGACATTGTATAGCCGCTCTCAAAATAATAGCCAAAAAATGTATATTTTTTGTATATATATACGTTTTGCATGTTATATACAAAAATTATACAAATTTCATACACTTTTTCGGCTACCAAATGTAAATAGTTTCTGGCGCGGGCTAAAAGTGAAAAAAGCCCAAAAATATAGGGTTAATTACTTCGACCATCCCTAATTTAACAAAAAAGTAAATAGAGCTCCTCCCTAGTTTGACGTTCCATTAAACATATCTCTTTCGCCACTATGAAGTGTTAAACATCCGTTTAAAACAAATGGTGTCAGCAAAATATGATAGCAACACAGATTATGATACCCTTGTGAAAAGTTTGAGACATGGGGCCTGCAGGGTTGGAATGTTACCTTCAGAAGGCTCCTCAATGACTGGGAGTTTACTAGAGTGATTGAATTCTTCAAATTGCTGGTTAGTTTCAAGGTACTGTAGAAGAAGAGGACAAAATTGTATGGGAAAGAAATAGCAAAGGAGTATATACTATATACTGTGAAGTCAGCATATGATAACTTAAATAGTTCCGGTCAACTACAAGCAGGGCCATGGCACTGTAAACACATCTGGAAGGTGAAAATCCCTTTTAAAATAGCATGTTTTTGGTTGGCTTGTATCAATGAAGCTGTTCTGACTCATGACTGTTTGATGAGAAGAGGAATGCCATTGTGCTCAAAGTGCTTTTGTGTGGAGGTGAGATTGAAACAAATAGTCACCTCTTTTTACATTGCAGAATAACCAGCAAGTTGTGGTATTTATTCATGAGTATGAAAGGGTCGAGCTGGACAGTTCCTAGGACAACTGCAGAAATGATAGCATGCTGGAATGATCCAGGTATTTGACAGAGGCAGAAGAAATGGTGGAGCATGATTCCAGCATGTATTTGGTGGACAATATGGAAGGAAATAAACTCAAGATGCTTTACAGATAGAGCTAATTTTGAAAGAAGATACAGATGGATTGTATATTTTTGTTTCACTTTTGGTGTAAAGAAGCCCTTGTAGAGGATGTAGAGTCTGTAGTTAACATCGTTGGATCCTTGTAACTACCACAAGACTAGGTTTTTGCTCTTTTTGGGGGGTCTTGTAACTTTGTTTTACTCTTAGCACAATCTTTGTGCTAAGGTTTACTTTATCATATTTATATAAAATTATTACCTCTCAAAAAA